ATGTTATGGTTGTGTTTATTGGGATAAAATAAGGAACTGAAGGGTGATGGCTACTCTTTAATAAGGACCAAACTTCTGGAATAAAAGGGAATCATGACATGTCACATATGTCATGTGTCCTTAAGGGGTTAATGTAAGGAAGCACTAGTAAACTGCATATTTGGTATCCCAGTTGGTTGCTTTAAGAACACATTCACTGTTTTTCTTAGAATAATTAGCAATATAGTATTTGTTTCCCTTTAACCCTTGAACACTTCTTCTATAGAATGATGCCTTAACACTTATTGAAAGGTATTGTAGTGATCATTGTTTTGAAAAAGTACACGTAATACTCTAGAGTAATGTCCAATTCTTAACATGAATCAGATAATGGGTAAATCCTAGGGATTTGCAGGACACAGATAAAACTCGATTACTTAGTTTAGAAAACTCCTAAATGCTTGGACAGAGGAGTTGATGGAGATGACCTAATCTGAGGAATGCAGAGCATGTTGGGAATCTTGGGACTTTGCCTTGTTAAGTAGTTTTGTTCTATTTCTAATGCTGTTTTGCCCTATTTCTAATGCTGTTCTTTTTATGGGATTCTTGGTCTGGTACTATTTAACCAACACATCAAATTTTATCTTAGTTCTTGAGATAAGTATCAAACATTCAAAATCCAGGTTCATTATAAACATACATACTGAAACAACACAATAAATAGTAGGTGGTGGTTTATCTTACATTGTAATATTTAGTCTTGAAAAGCAAGCTCTTCAGAAATAATACATAAACAAATATAAATGCCAGATTGTATTTTGATTGGTGGAGTAAATCACAGGTAAATCGACCTGATGCAATCGTCTGTTGTTTTTGCTGTGAAGACTTACACGTCTACATTTTGACAAGTTGCAAAAGTGTGTGCTTTACGAAATTCAAGCGTACATCTATTGCAATAGACAGAGAAATTATATAAATACATAAAGGACTAGTCAACCCTGACTAAAATTCAGAATCCTATATTTTTATAGGGTTTGGATGTGAAAAACACTGATTTTATTCTGGACACAAAAGCATGATTGTTGCAGATTCTCGCAGTTTGTCAATTTTCACTGGATTTTGTCCATGTGGAGAAAATCCAGTGTCTAGTGAATAACCCTGAGTGTGTTTGTGTACATGTAAACAGATTTAACCTAGAAGCTTTTTCAAAGCATCAAATATGCAAACAAGACTAAAAAACGTATGTGGAGAAATGAGCAGAAATACACTTGTAAGTGAAATTGTGATTATTATTATCATTTAGATATCCATAATATATTATGCAGCATGTTACAATTGTAGAAAGGGGATATTTATAGGTGAAGAAGGTTCTCACACAAGTTTGCAATCTATGAGATATACCTCCCAAATGATCCCTATGTAAGAGAGACATAAGCTCATTTGCACATGCTACAGCACAAGAGGTTTCTGCTCTGCTCCTGTCCTTCCGCCCCACCACCTGCACCCTCGATCCTATTCCCTCGCATCTCATCCGCACTTTGTCTCCCTCTGTTGCTCTTCCTCTCGCTAACATTTTCAATCTCTCCCTTTCCTCTGGCACATTTCCCTCTGCCTTCAAACATGCAACCGTAACCCCAATTCTGAAAAAGCCCAACCTTGATCCCAACTCCCATCCAACTACCGCCCTATCTCGCTACTGCCATTTGCCTCCAAGATCCTCGAGAGAGTTGTCTACGCCAGATTGACAGACTTTCTTGAATCCAACTCTCTGCTTGACCCCCTTCAGTCTGGATTCCGCGCTGGTCACTCTGTCGAAACTGCTGTGACCAAAGTATCCAACGATTTAATTGCTGCTAAATCTCGCGGCCAATACTCTATCCTAATCCTCCTTGATCTTTCTGCCGCTTTTGACACTTGATCATCAACAGCTTCTTCACATTCTTCGTAACTTTGGTCTACGGATACTGCTCTCTCCTGGTGCTCCTCCTACCTCTCCCAGCGCTCTTTCAGTGTTTCTTTCTTTGACTCTGCCTCTTCTCCCCAACCCCTCTCTGTCGGCGTCCCCCAAGGTTCTGTCCTCTGCCCCCTACTGTTCTCCATCTATACTGCCTCCCTTGGTAAACTCATCAGCTCCTTTGGCGTCCAATATCATTTATATGCAGATGACACGCAAATCTACCTGTCCTCCCCTGATCTCTCTCCGCCCACCTTGACTCGTGTTTCTGACTGCCTCTCTGCTATTTCCAACTGGATGGCTGCTCACTTCCTTAAACTCAACCTGTCCAAAACAGAACTTCTAGTTTTTCCTCCCTCAAGTGCTGCTACTCCTGTGTCTGTCTCCATCCAAGTCAACGGCGCTACTATCACCTCTACCTCCCAGGCTCGCTGCCTAGGGGTTCTTTTTGATTCTGATCTCTCTTTTACTCCCCATGTCCAATCAATAGCCAAATCCTGTCGCTTCCAACTCAAGAACATAGCGCGCATCCGCCCATATCTAACGCCGGACACGGCTAAGGTACTGGTTCATGCTGTTGTTCTCTCTCGCCTTGACTATTGCAATCCCCTTCTCACAGGTCTTACATGTTCCCAGCTTGCACCGCTGCAATCTATAATGAATGCGGCTGCGAGGCTTATTTTCCTGTCCGGTCGCACCTCCCACGCCTCCACGCTCTGTCAGTCCCTGCATTGGCTTCCAGTTAGATATAGGGCCCAATTCAAAATTCTGGCGCTTGCTTACAAATCCCTACATAATGCTGCTCCAACATACCTATCCTCCCTCATACACAAGTATGTCCCGTCGAGACCCCTGCGCTCAGCCCAAGACCTACGCCTATCCTCTGCCCGGATCCCCACCTCTGATGCTCGCCTTCAAGACTTCTCCAGGGCTGCACTTATTCTGTGGAACTCCCTTCCCTCCTCAATCAGACTTTCACCCAGCCTCCACTCCTTCAAAAAATCTTTGAAAACTCACTTCTTCATTAAAGTGTATCAATTAAACTAGCAGGTTTCTCATCCCCCACCCCATGACTCCGTTCCTGCACCTGTCAAAAATGACCTACCAAGCACTCCATAAACCCTTCTGTAACAAACTATTTAATTCCCCTACTTTAACCCTTTGTGTCACTATACCCCACTCCCTCTAGCATGTAAGCTCATCGAGCAGGGTCCTCAACCCCCTCTGTTCCTGTACCTCAGTGGTCTGATCTCAATTATGTGTCTGTTAGTCCACCCATTGTACAGCGCTACGGAATTTGTTGGCGCTATATAAATAATAAAATAATAATAATTCCCTGTTTGGGCATAAACCTATCTGTCCCTCTTTTCTATTCTAATGTCCCTCTTTTCTAGGAGTTCCATATTGTTAGTGTGTGTGTTGGAGTATATATCAGAGCTTCACTGCAATAATACTTAATGTAATGTGTATTCAAACCATAATAAATGTGTTTAAAAATCAGTCTGTGTAAATAATATACAATGTTCTAAATTATATTTTAGCATGAATTGTTATTAGTAAGTAAAATACAATTTCTCATAAAAGCCCTAACCCTGACTATACCAGTTCAAACCACTAAAATGAAACTGTCCCTCTCTGTCCATTTGAATTGTTGAGAGGTATAATAAACTCAGTTCATAATATAGCCTTCAATATGTCTTCAAATGGCAGCAGCAAAATCTCACTGGGACTCCAAATTAAACTTATGTTTACAAATAAACTTTTATTTTTCTGTGGTTTCAGCAAACAGCTGTAATGAAGAAATGTCACATGTCATATGTGCTGAGTGAATCCTCTTATTTTATCTCTGTTATAGGTGTTTGAATGTATATTTAAAAGGTGTATACGGTATCTCTTATAAAGTACATGTGTGCTCCTTCGAGAACTGTGTAGATCATTCTGTTTGTTTCAGCAACAGTCAGATTAAAAATATATACCCGCAGTAGGATGCCCATTTTCTATCCCCAGCATCATAAAAGGATAAAGAAAGTCTGGTAATTAAAAAAAAAAAAATTTTTTTTAAATTTATGGTCAGTATAGGAAATTTGTATTTTTGTTTTATAAACTGATTGAGCAGAGTGCACATTTAGTTTGTGTCAATCACAGGAGTCAAATAGTATTACATACATTTTACACAATAGATTGATATTACACGTAAGATAATGGACTACCCCCTTAAGCACAGAGCACTACAGTCTTGAGAAGGGGCTGACCCAGGTTAGACCACGAGTAACCCCCTAAAAGTCTACAAAATGGCCTTTATTATTATTAACCTCAAATCCCAAGTGCTTCGGGCTGGACAAGGACTCAAAGCTGTGCACAGTGACAGAGAGCTCAGCTCACACAGTCACGAACAACAGAACATCTCATCTGATTCCTCACGGAAGTGTTTGCAGAGTGCTGGAATTTTATTGAGGAACTGGATGAGATGATACTTTTTGATATATTGATTTTTTTTATATGATATATTCTTTTAACCCCTTAAGGACCAAACTGAAATAAAAGGGAATCATGACGTCACATATGTCATGTGTCCTTAAGGGGTTAAAGGGACACTATAGTCACCAGTGCAACTACATGTATTCCTGACCCTATAGTGTTAACACCACTATCTAGCCACCCTGGGCCCCTAATTCCTCCATAAATATAGTAAAACTCTTAAAGTATGTTATTTGCCTAAAAAAAAACAAAAAAAACAAGCAGTCTGCTGACATCATCAGAAGTGGTAGCCTGATCCAATAACAGTGCTTCCCCACAGGATTGGCTGAGACTGACAAAGAGGCAGATCAGGGGCAGAGCCAGCATGATTCAGCCCTGGCCAATTAACATCTCCTCATAGAGATTAATTGAATCAATGAATCTCTATGAGGAAAGTTCAGTGTCTGCATGCAGCGGGAGTGTCTGCATGCTGCCCTGTGCTCTGCTGACCGCAGATCTGAGTGGATGGAGGCATACTATGCCTCAATCAACTCGGAAGTCCCTCTGGGGAAGTCCTAGCTTTCAGTGTAAACACTGTATTTTCTCAGAAAATAGTGTTTACATGAGAAGCTGCAGTGAGCTATAGTTCTCACCTGAACAACCTCATTAAGCTGAAGTTGTTCAGGTGACTATAGTGTCCCTTTAAAATTATTTTTCAAAATGTTAAAATATCAAAGTTTATCCAAAAATATTAACTCATTTAAAAAGTGCATCCAAAAATGTTAAATCAAAACGTAGTCTGAAGCTGCAGTGCGTTCGCCGCAGCAAGTCTAATCTTCAGTATTGAGTATTGATTGTCTGCAGTGCACACAAATAGCGTGCTGCACATAGACAGCCAATGAAGACTCTTGTTGCTCCACTGTCATGTGTTTGAGGGATCAAAGGCAGCGTGGGAAGCATCTGGTTGGGCAGAGCAGAGCAGCACAGAGAAAGCAGGATTCTACAGGAGCTCAGGGGACAAGATCCACTGCAATGGCTCCTGTAGCTGTCTGTATTAATGTACTGCTCTGCTACTAATACAAAAGGTTAGTAGATTTTCTAATCTTCAACCCCCTTCCCTTCTTTTGATCATCTCCATGCGCCAGATTCATTATCAAAATTCCTTCCTTAAAGTTTTGGTTTTTTTAGTATTGAATCTGGTACAGGAAGACAGTCAGCGATGCATAATATATTAGCACTAAATAAATGCCAAAAATTTATATATTGTAAAAAAAAATATTTAATATTACATAATATTGAGAAAGAAATCATGCTATCAGGTGCAATGTTTCATTATGAGTTTAAACCCTTTGCTGCCAGAAGTCTAACTCCACCTCCAGCAGTGTCATTGGAGAATCATTAGTCAGCCAGGAACTAGAGGAATTGGAACTGGGCAGGCTAATGGCAATTTGGAAAAAATAACAAAGTGTAAATGTAAATATAAAATACACTATTTATTAACCAAACATAAACACCTATAAGAACAGTAAAAATAAGCTTTAAGAGTCCACTTTACGTGTTTTGCCTGTTCAAAGACTTCTTCAGAAGTGTAGTCTCATCATCATCAAGTATCGTTCATATAGGCAGTCTATCATTAAAAATTACTTCCTGGTGTGATAATTGGTGCTTGTTGTGAAAAACCACTGGAGAGGAGGAGATTTTATGAAAAAATTGGGAAGAAAGAAATGGAATGGGTCTATTATATGAATACACTACATCCAAATAGTTTAAATCTATATTTTGATCTATTTAATTTTTTATAAAATATTTTTTTTTTATAAAAGGTAAGGATTTTATATCTATTTATTGTTTTTATTTAAAATTCATTTAAAAAAAAATATTTTATATATATACTTTCTAGATATATAATACCACCCATTCCTAACCATCAGTCTCCCCTATGCTTAACTGGTTATCTGTGAAATGCACTGCTATGTATTTGATATTAATACTATTCTAAAGTGTATTGCTATTGACTGTATATCAATATTTCACATAAATACAGTCTCTTATTATATTTTAATATTGTAACTTCCTTAAGTCACCATTATCTATTTCTGTGTTTTTATATATATATATTATTTTATGTGTACACTCATTTTATATCTATCTATATTATTGGATAAACCCTGTGTATAAATGCAGTACTGATCTGTATATCGAATGTCACCATTTCATTACACTATCCTTCTTTCTATGTTCATATAAGCCTGATATACTTCTTTTCCCTTCCCACACTGCTATTCATCTGAGCCACTTGGACATCTATATCTACATATATCCTTAGGTGGGGATTGTTCCGTCCAGACTCTGATACAGCTGAGCTCTGATATAGCTCAAGCAAATGTGAGTGTAATCATTACAGATCACACGTCACTTATTGATTGTACACACTGTATTGATTGTACACACTGTATTGCACTATTATTATTTTTTGTTTCTCCCGAGGTTCAAAGTCTACATTAGCAATATATATTTGTGTACGTATATCACTTTATTCATATTCTTTGGGCGCGGTTTCTTTCCCTTTTTCTTTCTGTTCTACCACTCAGAAAGTTGGGAATCCTTGTATTAGTTGCTGCAGCCCGCCTTTATTCTGTATTAGTTTTTAGTGAGCGCCTATTACATCTTTTATCACTAATGGCAATTTGGTTCATATTTCTAAGACCTAGGAGAAACAGGGTCACAGTTCTACTCACTACACTACAGTATGCTGCAGTGTAATAATGCTTGGAATAATATGCCGTTACCATTTGTGTCACTAAACTCCCACTAGCATGTAAGCTCATTGAGCAGCGGCCTCAATCCCTCTGTTCCTGTGCATCCAACTTGTCTGGTTGTCTGTGTCTGTTAGTCCACCCCTTTTACAGCGCTGTGGAACATGGTGGCACTTTATAAATATAAATAATAATAATAATCATGCCCTGGTCTCAAAGTTGTTTACTAAGTTGACCAAGCAAAGACTTCCAGTGGAGAGCAGCCCTAATGAAGTTATAGAAAAGAGAAATCTGTCTATGGTCATGTCAAAACCCATTGCTTTTCTTGAAATGCCTAAAAACCCAAAATATCACATCTTAAGGAACAATACCAGAGGCACGTGCTAATTTAGAACCTTTAAATGCCATTGAGGTTCAGTCCCTCCGTTTTCTTGGGAGGTAGTAATGAGGCAAATAGTTGCTGTATACTAAAGAATATATGATGCACCCCAAAACGTTCTGCTATACAGTGGATCTTAATATCCTGCCTGCGGGCACACACCTTAGCAGCATTGACTTATAGAGCAAATGTACCATGAATGTCCTACAGCTTTTGTAATTTCAAAACATAGGCCTGTATATGGCTGTGCAGTGATATAGATCCAAATATTGATCTTCGTTATAGAGGGTGCCAAAGTATTATTACAAGTGCACTTGGAGAAGCATGAATTAGACACCACACATGTGTTGGTTATCAAAATAAGCCTCTGTCGTTTATTCTTCAGTTGTGTTTTTATACATTAAAAAGTAAGTGCTTACGTGCAAATACTCATAGGACAGTAGTAGGAAGGGAGTGAAATGGTGAAAGGAGTAGAGATAAGACATAGGGATGGACGTCATGTACATATAACAAATAAGTTTCGAGAAAGAGAAAGAACAGAATGATTTGAGAAGAGACATCTCAGGTGGGGACTATCTGCTCCTGGAACTAGACATATATGGTCTTAAGTGTCATTTTAAGCATCAAGCATTTCCTGAGTCCAAGTTAGCCAATTTTAATATAGGATATCATAATATGACACCTATAAGCGTGAGCCTTGAAAGCAAGATAAATTCTATCACAGCAGCTTTAACTGGTCACTGCAGAGATCTCCTTCAACACCACAATATCGATGGTAAATATGTTGTGGATATCAGACATTAGATCTAGAATGTCCCATTTGGTTGCCAGAGTGATTTTGTTTGGCAAGGGAGTAGGGAAGTCTTTCCTCTGACTACAAAGATTCTTCAGCATCAAAGCCCATGCTGAAGGATCAGTGTTGCTATATATGTTATAAATAATTGCAATTGAAATTTGTTGAGGCTGTCATCTAGTACCTTTGCGACTAGAGGAGTACTCTCAGATGACAGGCCTCGTTTGTGTTAGATTTCCTCCCACAATATCTCTGAAAGGCTAGATCTCTGTGTGAGTGTCTCTGCGCTCATTAAACCAGGGGTTCCCAAAACGTAGCACCCCAGATGTTGTAGAACTACAATTTCCATGATGCTTTACATGGCTTTTAGACTGCTTTAGAATATCAAAGCATCATGGAATCTACCTCTGGGGATCTACCTTTTGGGTACCCCTGCATTAAATGATCGCAACAGTGGTGACAGTGTTCTTTAAAGTTACACCTTAACATATGATAGTTTATCAATGTCCAGGGAAAAAAGTGAATGGTGTCCTTGTCCAACTAAAGAACATGAAAACAAATTAGAAAGTGTATAATACTTTTAGATGGTCGCTTTAAAAAACAACAACACACACTGCCAAAAATAGTTGAAATCATGCCAAAACTAATGCGGATAGAAAGCCTGCAGCTACAGAACAGAATTTCCTTTCATGCTTCATATCCCTGTCATATGCTATTATGTTTTGCAGAGCACAGCAAAGGGTAATAAAATAGTCACTAGACTGAGTTCTGCAATGAAAACTCCAAGCAGCAGAGTAAACAGGCTAGTTTGGTCTAATCTCTGGTTGGGGCTCACACTGATCACTTCCCCAAGTAGCAGCTTTACCAAATAATAAAGAGCCTGCGGGTGTACGGTAAGACTTTGTGTTTCTGAGGTCATTCATCACCTTGAGTACCCAGTTATATAGTAAGAAAGTAAGATGCTGAGTCACTGAGAAAAACAAGGTGTTGTTAGAATGGGTCACGAGTTGATTTTTAAAGATGATGTCTAAATACACATGACCCAGTTTTTTTTTTTTCCCCATATTTGATAATGATGACTATTTTTCTTCACGCATGTCAGGAATTGAGCTTTTAAATATCACTGATGTATTTCTGTGCAAATATTTATACATATAAAAAAAAGAAAATGGAAAGAAAGGTGTGAAAAACATTACTCAGTGAACAAAATAACAAACAATGTAACTATATAAGTATACACTGCAGTTGTGCTTTGAAGTTGCATTAACCCCTTAAGGACACAGCATCAGAAGTAAAAGGCCAGCAGGATGGAAATGCTAAGGAGTTAAAACTAAAACAGTGCAATTCTATATAAGATTCCCTTTGTCAGGGATATGCAGTTGAGAAAGCAATGGTGCCAAATTAATGATTACAGTAGTCGGGATAACAATGCCTCAACGCAAAGAGATTTAAAATGGGGGAAGTCACCAAGGATTCTGTGAGTTATAAGGAATACTACTGTGAGGCTCTAATGGGTGTTCTGTAGGTCTACATTGCTGATTACTAATGTGTGACTCAGGATGTCATTAGGTTTGATAGGTAAGTACTGCTTGTGTTTTTGGGGGATGTGTACTGATACCTAGCTGCTAGGCCCAGTCTGGGCATTGGACAAACCCTGCCTAAAGGTAAGAAGAAAGTAGCAGGGAAAAAAGGCTTATTTTAGAATGTATAATTAATTAAAGCACAAATATGTTTATACATATTTATTTATTCAGCTGCACCCAGGGCCGGTGCTAGGATTTTTGACTACACAGGCGAAGATGCATTTTGAGGCCCCCCCCCCCAAAAAAAATAAACAATGCATCTTCACCTCTGTGTCTCGTAGAGCCCTTTTGAATTTCTTACCCCCATTAGTGTTGCATATCCACTCTCTTGAATGTCTTACCCCTTTGGCCCCTTTGTGCCTTACACCCCCCTTTAGTGTGTCTCCTACAACCCCTCTTATGTATTTCTTACTTCCGCGCCAGCCCCTATCTATCTCTCTTTTTCTCCCACATAGACATAGATACAGGCAAATACATACATGCACAAATACACAAACATACAGACACACAACCATACAAGCACACAGACATAATTTTTCAGGCACACAGTCACAAAGATATACAGACACACAGTCATAAAAGGCACACAAACAAACACAGTCATACAATCTACACATACAGGTACATTGTCGTACAAACACAGACATACATTCATACAGACACAGGCACTCACAGAAATACATACACAGACATAAAGAAACAGAGATAGGCATATAGAGACATACATACACAGACAAACAAAGAACCCTGCACACTGACACCGTGTAAATGCTCCGGCCATCAACAGAGGTGGATGCTCCATGTCAGGCAGACATTGCTGGATCCACCAGTAAAATCTTCAAAAGGAATAAACGCAGGCAACACTCCAATAGTAAGGATGGTATATTTATTGGTAGGTGAACCACCCCATAGAAAGTGTGATGTTTCAGCTCATGCAATAAGGCTCTGCTGAGCCAAAACGACGCACTTTCTTTGGGGTGGTTCACCTATCAATAAATATACCATCCTTACTATTGGAGTGTTGCCTGCGTTTATTCCTTTTGAATACATTTACACAGTCATACAGAGACATACATACTGTATGTCTCTGTATGACGGTCTGTGTATGTACACAGCATGGCTAAAAGATAGATCCCCATCTGTCGTGCAAATTCAACAATGCTTTGAAAGCTGGGGCTCTACCGATTCCCCATGCTTGCAGGATTGTATTTAGCATGGAGCAGTATTTGTGTGTTTGACTGTAAGCATGTGTTTGTATGGAGTATGTTTGTATGATTGTAGCGGTGTGTTTGTATGTAGTGTTTGCATTTGAATGCAAGCATGCATTTATGTGTAGTGTTGGTTTTTGAACGCAGGTGTGTGTTTATATAAAATTTTGGTGTCTGATACAGAGGTGTGTTTGTATGTAGTGTTGACATTTGAATGCAGGGGTGTGTTTGTATGTAGTGTTGACGTTTGCATGCAGGTGTTTATTTGTGTGTAGTGTTGTGTTTGAATGCTGAGATATATGCACATATACACATACACTGCCACACATGCACACACTGTGATACACATACACAAAGATACACACACTGACACATGCAGATATACATATACACAAACTGATACACATTCAGATAGACACACAGTGACATACAGACACACATACACAATGATAGGGAAGAAGACACACTAACAGACAGACACACACTAACAGACAGACACACACACTGACAGACATAGATATACACAGACACACTGACAGACATACACACACACTGACAGACATATACACACACTGACAGACATACACACACACACACTGACAGACATATACACACACTGACAGACATACACACACACACACACTGACAGACATAGATACACACAGACACACTGACCAACAGGTTCAGAAGGGGGGCTTACCTGGGATCCAAAGTGCTGCCTGAGGTAGTTGGGAGTTGGAGGAGCTGGTCCTGCACAGCCCCCCGCCTCTCTGCCTTCTGCTGCTCTAGGCTTCTTGGGAGGACTTCCTCCCATGCTGATTAGAAGGGGGCCGGTGGTAGCTCCGCCCCTGCTGGGCACCAGCCGCGCTGTGTGCTACAGAGGGAGCAGGGATATGACGTTCATATCCCCGCCCCCTCCACACAGTCCGCGGCACTGCAGGTTGGCGCTCGGCCACGCTACAAGAAGTGACCGGCAGGAGAGGGGCGCTGTGCGCTTCCCTCCTGCCGGCCACCCGGACATTTGCGCCCTCGGGCCGGTGCGCCCTAAGGCGGCCGCCTGTGCCGCCTTATGGACGCGCCGGCCCTGGCTGCACCCCTCAAACCACCCGCCCCCTGCAATACAGGCACAATACAGGCCCCAACACATTCATACACACTGTACCCTGCACCCCTCATAAACACTGGATGGATCCTCTATAGAAACACTGCACCACAACCAACATATATACACAACATCCCTGATACACACAGTACATACCTGACACAAACAGAACATTTCTTTTTGACATACACAGAACATGACATGTGCACGGTCGCCTTGTCGGCATATGCATAAATCCCACCAATACCCATTTCCAATAAAACACTGACATGGTTTTGGCAAAATTCATATCACAGCTTTATTGATTCTTAACATAAAATATAAAGGTCATTGTCAACAGCAGGCCAACGTTGGCCTGCACAATTACCATCCTGCAATTTACAATTTAAACCCACTGACAATGACCCACTCCCACATAACATAATATCCAAACATTGTAACCTTTAACTTAACACTTCGGAGAGATGGACCCCATCGCGCCTATAATAACCTGGAAGCATGTCTTCCAACTCCCTGTGCCGAATTACAACCCCTCCCTACCGCTTCACATACGCTGCCATTACCTTATTGACCTTTCCCTTAATTTTCGCCACCTAAGAGGGATTCCGCGCGTGTCGCCAGTAAAACCTCAGAACCATCTCCGACCATACCACCATAACCCCCAGCACTAACTCTCTCAGCTTGTCCACATCCTTCTTCATACACTCAATCAATACCTTTTGCCACCTTCCTGCCGGAACCTCTCCCACTGCGAACGAGATAACGCAACAGCCATAACATTCAACAGTCCAGGCACGTGGCGTGCCCGAAAAACAATATTAAAACGCATACAGAACAAGACGAAACGACGAAGAAGCTGCACCACCATCTCAAAAGCCATCCTCTGATGGCTGCTACGCGACCGGTGCCTCCTTGCACCCTGTGCGCCCTTTGCTTTGTTTTCTGCACTGTTTTCCTCGCTGTCACTCCCTTTTGATCCTTCCCTGACGACCTGACCCGCCTGTTGTCATCCCCGGCGCAGTCGTATGGGAGACCCTGGGGAAGTGCTGTGGTGTTGTGTATCGCTATACCCTTCAGGTCCGCTCCGTGCCCTAGCAGTCCCCCGCCTGCCTCCTGCCGTCACCAACCATGCGAACACCGGGTCCCACCACTGGGGTAACCTGTGGCCAAGCAACTGCAGGGGCAATGACGTCGGAGGTCGACTCACCCGGGTGATGTGCCGCCGCTGTCCCCGCTCCACCAACAGCACTTCGAACATTCCCAGGACCTACTGCCAAGCCTGCCGTACTGCTCCTCCTTTTTCCGCTGGACCCTGCATGTAACGGCCGCTTTCCAGAACTCCTGTCACCAGCAGCCACTTCTTCTTCATTCCCTGTAAGAGAGGACACAAAAAATGAACGTTCGGCAGTTGTCCGGCCTCCCTGTTTGGCAGTCGAACGGCCGGCAATATGGCTACCTCCCCGTTCAACTCCCGAACGTTCAGCAGTTTTCTTACCTCCCCGTTCGGGAAACGAACGGTCGGCAGTATCAGTGCCTCCACGTTCGTTTCCCGAACATTCGGCAGTTTCAGCCCTTTCGCCAGTTCTCCTACCTCCACGTTCACTCCCGGAATGTTCGGCAGTTTCGGATTCATTCCCAAACCAGCAGCCTGCAACTCGAGCCTCGCCTGATGACGTGTTCGTGCGGCTGCACTGCGACGCCTCCCGCGACCTCTTCCACTTGCGGCCTTCCCGCCGGCCGCCTCACCGCCGCCATCGGGACCTCCAGAAGGGCTCCTTGGATGCCGGGAACCCGGAACTGTGCTGGGGCTCAACCTCTGCGGGGGCCTTGTCCTCCTGACCGGCCTCTGACCTTGGGAGCTTCCTGATCCAGATGGCAGAGCATCTCCAAGGCGATCCCTCAGCCACTCGACACCCCTCTCTTGCACAGCTGCCCGGACTCCTTCCAGCCAATCTTCCATCTTGCTGACAACCTGCAGAGGAGACAAAAGAAAAAGCCACACAAATCCTGCCTCAACAACAGGTAAGTGCAACTTAGATTAAAGTGATCCCTAGATCTAAAATGGCCACTACTTATACTCCCCTTTTAACTCCACCCCACTCCATTTCCTTAAACCAATCCCTAACCACTGACCCTTAGATGCCTGTCTCCTGGCAATGTCAAGGCCCACTCCCCTTAGCTCTGTAGATGCGAATATCCATTTTGCTCTATATCCTAACTGTTCATGTAAGGGTTAATTTGAATCAATAATAAATTTGGAATTGTATCTCCAATTCTCAGAAATGTTATTGAAACATGATTTTGTTATGTTCCTGGAAAAAAGATATTTGCATGACATGACATGACATGACATGGCATGACACGACATGACATGACATGACATGATAAGGATTCTGGAATGACCTTGTTAATTGTCCAAGATTTCTGTATTTGTAATCATCTGGGTTTTATCCAATATGCATACATTATGTAACATCGAATTATAACTAAAAACAGCTGTTTATAACTTGTGAAAAACAATGTCATTGTCACGCCCATATGGTCATTTTTCCCCCTCCCATCCTGCTATGAAAATGGGTTATAAATATAACTGACGTATGAATACAATTTGAATTGGTTATTGAACACGTCTATGCTATTCATTTCCAATTTCCAGAGCTCTGTATGAGTTGGCAAATATCCATCATCCACAAAGGGCCAGGCTGATTTTATCCCCAACAAACTGGTGTCAGAAGTTTGGGTGCAATTAGGAACGGATTAGCAGGTAAGGGGGTCTTTAGCCCCTTGGGGACACAACTTCTGGAATTTAAGGGTATCATGACGGAGTATTTCTGTCGTGTGTCCTTAAGGGGTTGGGGACCTTTGCCTGCTTCTGCCATCCTCCCACACATTGCATTTCTTGTTTTAATGGGGTTTTTCACTATTTACATTTTTAAAGGGGATTTTCACAGGATAATGTCTTTGGTAGACATGGTATTTTGTTAAGTCTTAGGTAGACTTCTATTACTCCACGGGTTGGAGGATTGCCTTTGGTAGGTAGTAGTAGTTATTGTGCACATTTCCTCTTTGGTAAGAGGTTCACCTTTGGCCAGGTGTTAAAAATAATTTCAAGCCTTTGGTAGGCTGTGATGTCCTGTGATGTACATTTACATATGGGAGACGTCCCTAGATCCCTCTTTGGTAGAGGTTGACATTGGTAGGTTATAAAACAGATTTCCAGTCTTTGGTGGACTGTGGCATTTATTTAACGTAGATGTAAATTTGGCAGACTAAAATGGTTTAAAAAAACAAAACAAAAAAGGGGGTTAAAAGGTATGATGGATGTTTGGCATTACTCCGGCTTGCTAATTTATGTGCTATTTTATGATGTGCAACGCTGATTTTAAGCATAAAGTCTTAATTGAGGGAATGTCAAATGTATATTTAAAGGTGATGATGAATAAGAAAAAACTAGAGGTTATTTAAGGGGGGCTACAAATTCTAGAACTAACATGATTTCTCTGCATGTATGTTTGTTTGCATAATGAGCCCCTTATTTTTATACTTGGTCAAAAGTACTATAAGCCCACTACACTTTTTCATGAGAGTGGGATGTATGATTGTTTATATGATGAGCCCTTTATTTTCATATTGGGACAAAAAGTCACTTCATTCAAAACGTCAAACACCACATTCTTTCTGCCCTGAGTGTTTGTTGCAGAGAACTTATGTTGTAAATTTAGATGATTATGAATTAGAGAGCAAAATGTATATTTTCAGCGTTCCAACACATGCTTCATATTGTGCTGTAAGCTAACTTGTAGTATTCCAGTATGTCACATGTTGTATGTGCTTTAAATTGTATGTATTCTGTAAATTATTGAATGGGGTTGCTGAGATTTTATTGATAGTGACCCAAACTGTGAAGAAGTGGGTTTGAAATTTTGGTCATGGAATGTAGGATCAGAAAACCATGGACAAAGGTTTTTACCTGTGTTGATATGACTTTTGGAAACTCAAATTGACCGGTCAAAATTTTGCCATGCCTTTAACATGGAGTAGTATAAATATTTTGAGTCTTTGAGAGTTCTGACAAATGCAGGTGATACCATGTCTGTGTAATCTGGTCCAAATGTTCTATAAGCGTATAAGAGAGAAATTCCATTGACAGGGTACATATGTTGCAACTGGTTAATGCAAGTGTTATACAAATGTTTAAGTCAAACGCGTTATATGGCCGTACGGGATCCCTTCTGTAAAAAATAAAAAATAAACCCTTTGGTACCAGAAATCTTAAATAAATCTGATACAAACTAGAATTGGTATACCTTACAATAATATGTTCTGAATACAGCTGTTAGAAGTTTATTCTGTGTGAATGATGATTGTCATAAATGTTTGTTTTGGTTACTCATTTTAAAGTATGCAGTTTAATTGTCATGTATGTTAATGGGTATTTTGCTGTGTTATTTTAAATTATATTTGAATAAGTTTGTCTTAGTATTGATACAGATGAAAATGGCAGCGTAATAATCTATTAAATAACTGATTTATTATTGAATACTTGTCCAAGAGCAATATGAGTTGTAGTCTTAAGAAAGAAAAAAGGAGGGAGTCTGTTTTTGTAAATTTTAGCTGATTTCCAAAATTCTGTTGCAATAATGGACTTCCTGCCAAAATTTGACTTTCCTGTCCAGTTGCCAGGTGCTCTGATCTAACCTTAAAGTAGTACTGCTTGCATTGTTTGCAGACATGCATATTGCACAAACATGAGAACCAAATTATGTCTGTCACATAGTGTGACATTTATCAATTTATTTTGGATTGAGTTAATTGCCTGTCCATGAATATGCTTTTGGTATTGGCATGTCTGCTGGATATCTGCTACATGTTTTCTGTGCTATAAGATGATGTGTGATATTACAATGAGTATGAAGAATATTTAAAGAATATTTGCATGTCATTAACGCAAGCCTTTAGTGTCTTTTTACAACAGATTAAAAAAACGCTGATCAGCCAACAAGAAAGGGGCCCCTGGGAAAGAAAAAGAAAAATATATCATTTGCTTTTCAAAATCGTGGATCCACGTTTCAGTATTATTAGGGGAGTATTTAGAGTTAACGCTACTTTTAAAGTGCATTGCATTATTTAAGAAAAGAAAAATGTGTTTGTTATATGGTTATATAACAAGAAAAATTATGGATGTATAGGATAGGTTTTTTCCAAGATTAAGATTCATCTAGTATGCCTCATTGATTATAGGAAAATGATGAAATGGTATTTTTAATAGAGATCAGATAATTTCTTTTGAGGCAATTCTAAACTACTGTATTATATTTGTATTGGTATATTGAAAGCATTTTGCAGACCCAGAAGAGAATAAATAATATAATAATAATAAAAGGAACCATACTATGGGAAGAGGTCACCCTATTAAATTGCTAAGGGGTTAAACTCATTTTGATAAGCATATAAAATTTAGTTTTTGTGGTTAGAATTTTTGATACTCAATTTGAACTCAATTGAAGTATTAAAACCATATCCTTGCAGGTATAGGAAACAGCTGCAATATGATTTTAATATTTGCAATATATTAGTGTTCTGACAATGGAAAAGTTCCTAACCGCATGTCTGCATTACACCTATGACACAGACTGTCAGTATTGCAAACCCTATATGAAGACTCTGCTATCACTGTTTATGTATACACCCCTAGACAACCGTGCTATACATGCACAATAAATCTTCAAAAGCCTATTAATATTATATCTGTGTGGTACACAAATAGGTGTACACAAAGAGGGGGTGTGAGTTAAGTCATCTCGACCTTCATATGGAATATGCTTCCTCCTTGTTCACTTTTGGTCAAACTGTTGGTCTGTGACTGGCCCTCTTTGAACTGAATTTCTTGGGAAGATTCATGAGAAAGATACAGCAGGTTGTTTTGATATAAAGAAAGAGGGAAAAGTATGTTGTATCGGTCACAAAGGATTGTGATCTTAAGCAGGCGAGACAAAGAAAGTTTGGAGGTGATAGATTGAATCAGAAAAGTTTTAGAGGCAGAGGTAGAGAATTTGATCAAAGGATTTAACTTTTGTAGAGATGGTAACTTCAGCACTGTTTTAATTGTGGGTAGCAGGGATTCACCCCAAGGTGCTTGTGTTCTCCTGGCCCAGCTGGCATTCAAGGACTCCCACCCTGGCAGGTTCCTCAATACCAACCACAACTTTCAAGCTATACCCACACCCAACAACCTCAGCCTAATACACAGATGGTTCATGTTTTAATACTTTATATATAGTTTTGATAGATAAAACAGTATTAATGCTGGCTCTTAGAGGATGTACAAGCTGAAGTTGGGACCTAGACATTGTTTGCATAGGCTGTGCAATGTGAAATAACTAAAATAAAATAGGATAATAAGTATGCTTAGTCAATTTGTAAAGTGGTATAATAGAGGCATCTGCAATAAATTAAGTGGGTTTCCAAGACCTGACAAGTGAGAGCAACTTAATATAACATATGTCTACAGTTTGCTGTCCCTTCCTTATCAGAGGCCACTTGCAACACAGCAAGACAACTCTTCCTAAACTTGTATTAAACAAAGCACTTTAGAACAATAGTAATTTATTTTGTTTCTCCTATTTCATTCCTAGTTGTTCTGAAAAAAATATATTGTTTAAGTGGGATAACTGTATGGAGGTTCCAACATGTATTAAAACATGATCACACACATCAGGATCTATAAAAGGTTTGGGTTTCCA